ATAGCCCTAAGTAAACTACCATTTATTATTTTCATCCCGTGCAGTGTTCGCCTCCTATTTGGAGAAACGCATACACATGTTGGAGAATCATTTGGAAAATCTCACCACTATCGAACGCACCGAATGCATGCTTTGCCGTCAGCGTTACGAAGATGAACACAAGTTAAGTGAACATATACGAAGCAAACATATTGAACGACCCAAATCATCGGTGCTGCTAATAGCCAACAATAAGCGTGTGGTGCGCAATAAGCGCCAGAAAAACTATAGTGGCATATTCCAATGTGAAATTTGTGCGCAGCGTTTCAATATGAAATCGGCTTTGGAGCGACATGCGGCAGTGCATTCGAGCATTGGACGTCCGCACAAGTGTCCGGTTGAGTCGTGTGCGAAGCGTTTCAAGCGTGCGCAAGATATGAATTGGCACATGAAGACACACTCGAATGAGAAGCCAAATGTTTGCGATGTCTGTGGCAAGGGTTTTGCGTTGAAGTATGTGCTGAATCAGCATAAGCGGAGTCATGAAGGTGAGAGTTTTATTTTTTTTTTTAAATACTATTTTATTTGGTTATGTTTTGTTTTGTTTTAGTTTATATATTTTATTTTATTTAATCCTATTTAGGTTTACTGAACTTTTTTTTTACTACTTAATAAAATATAAAATGTCGATCTTGCAGTGCTTGAGAAAAATTTTAAATGCCTAATCTGTGGACGTGCCTATCTTTTCGAGAAGTCATTGCGCGTGCACGAACGTGTACACACTGGCGAAACTTACTACCGTTGCGATTTGTGTGGCGAAAATTTTGTAACTCATATGAAATTCAAAAGTAAGTGAATACCCTAAATTTTTGGGACTTTTTTTTAAATGAAATAAATGTTATTTTTCGTATTTTTTTTTTTTAGCTCACATGATGAAGAAACATGATCCGAGCACAACAAATTTGGAGGATTATAATATGGATGTCTTTGAAGAACAGATGTATGAACCTTAAAAGTTTCATGAGGATTTAAAGCTTAACTCCGTGTTTGTAATGGTGGGATTTTGATTTCGCCTTTCACAATTGGGTTTTTCAAACTCCTTCGATAGCTTTAGTGCAACATTTGCCAAGGAAAAAAAAAAAATAAGACACTGTTAAAGATTAAGCGTTTAGCTTAAAAGGATCTCGCTCATTAACAAGAAAAATGTGTTTATTATAAAAAAAAAAAATCCAGTACTATTTCCCATTAAAAATAAATGCATATAACTAAATTCGATTATATTTTAAGAATATTTTGCTATTTTGCTTTGGTTTTTGGAGAGATAAATTAGCTGATGGTTAAATACACCATTTGATATTATAATTAACATTTTTTATACATACCTTTATTTTATCACATTAGTTTGATAAAATAAAATTAACAAACATTTAACAAAATCCATCTGTAGGTATATTTTCCGAACGACTTTCATAAACTAGCTAATGAGTAGAATTTATGTAGGAAAATCCAGAATAAGAGACCGTTAAAATTGTCTGCCAACAAACATAATCGATCGAAATCTTGCGCAGTGTATTATTTACAGTGAGTTATAAAAGAATGTATACAACTATAAAGAAAATAAAATGCACAAATACAATAACACGCACATAATGGCTCACTGACCGAAAGCAATAGCGTTAATTTATGTGTATGTATATATGAATGCATAAAAACGACATAAGTAATAACAAGTAATTTTTAAACAAAAAAAAAACTGACTTCAATTCCCATATAAAGATTTAAGAAGACCCTTAATTTCCTCATGACCCAATGATCGGATCTAAGCCATATTAGCATGGGACCAGCTTTGAGGTGCCACCTTTCCTTTAAAAAAAATAGGTTAACGTGGTCCAAACATAAATTAAAAAAAAAAAAATATTCCGACGAATTGACAAACGACCTCCTCCTTTTTTTGAAGTCAGCTAAAAATGATATAAAACACTGCATACTTATGTATGGACATATGTATGTATATTACACACACACACCTATAGATTAAGATGTCCAAAACTTTGAACTTGACGAATGCTCAATTGTGTTTTTTTTTTTTAGATACGAATACAGTATTGAATAATTTAGTGAAATGCATTTATTGTATTTAATGCAATTGTTTAGATAAACGTATGTATGTAATTTTATAAAAGTAGAAAATTGTTAGCAATATTTTGTAGTAGTAGTTTGGGAATTTCCATGGTGATAATGTAACACTGAAATGATATTATGCATACTTTTAAACGCAATATATGTACATATAGTATGTATGTAATAATTTATGTTTTGTAAGTGATAATTTATATATACATACATACTTATAGTTAGTTCACATACCAGTTCACTAACCAGTTAAATGTCTACTATATATATACTTTGTACTAACTTCCGCTCAATTTTTACTAAAGCAATATGGCAATATTAGATTTACCTAATGTATTGTATGTACATACTTTAGGGTGCGACACGAAAAAAATGCGAGGTTTCCACCAGAATTATGCAATCTATTATATTTAAGGTTCTTCGCCAAAACATTTCGGGATAATATTAAGAATAAAGGTAGCTGGACCGATTTGAAAAATAATTCCAAAAATCTCATTGTTTTGATTGTGTTGATAAAATTTTAAGCTTTAACTTTTCTATCATCTGAGGTGATTTTTTGGAAACAAATTATTTGCAAAACGAAATTTATTTATAAAAAACTATATTTTTTGATTCATTTTTAAATCGGTCCAGCTCCCGTAAATCTTAACAATTTTCCGAAATAAAGCGGAAGCCTTAAATTGTAGTAAATTTAATGATTCCTATGGAAACCGACAGTACCGACTTTTTTGTATGGAGAGTAATGCACCCTAATGTATGTATATGAATAAGTTATTTAAACACTTTAGAATTATTTGTTTGGTTATCAACATTAAGACGACGTTCTTAATGCATACATGTACTATACATATACACATTAGTATGAATAAAGTTATCTATAACGAAGCTTTAAAATAAAACTACAATAATAGAAAATTATTTATTAACAACTATTGAATATTTGTTTTTGTTAAATTCAGGTTGCGAATGACGTTTTAATTCGTGCTGCTCCATACAAACAAAGGGGAAAAGGAATGCAAAGTGGAATACCTCTTGACTCTCAGAAGGGCTTTTAGCTTCTGAAATTATCCTCTGGGAAAAGTTTAACCTGTATAAGCCACATAATCAATTTTTAATTAAGAGCAACTACTCTTTTCCTCTAGCCTGTAGGGGCCCATCAATAAACCTGTAATAACTCTTAGTTTCTCCTTTGGCAGATCCATGAGTAACCTATATCTTATCAGATTGTATCCTCCTAATATGCTTTTCGCCTCACGTTGACCTATGGTGTTACGCCAGTGCAATTCTCTCAGTTTGCAATTTACCTCTCTGAGCATTTCCTTTATGGTATTGGGCCCCACTGGCAGAAAAGGCTCTGGTCCTATCGGGGTCGAGGAAGCGGCCATTCTGGCCAGATAATCAGCTTTCTCATTTCCTGCAACACCCATGTGCCTTGGTACCCACATCAGTTGGATATCATTAACCTACGCCAGAGCATTAAGCCTTTCTACACAGGTCCAGAAGTTCCTTTTGAAGACCACCTCTCTCGCAAAGTTAAGGAGGGTTCACTTTGCAACCTGTTCCAGTGAAAGATGCAGTGGCTCGAGCTCCACCCGTACATCCAGAGCTGCTGTCGGGCATGTGCGCATTGTTGAATCTTTGAGGGCCTGCCTCACCGTTCCCAGAGTATTCCTGCAATACCAAGCCACCGAACCATAGGTCACCATTGGTCTCACTATCATGGTGTACATCCATCTGAGGATCCTCGGAGTACACCCCCAGGATTTACCCGCTAGACGTTTGCACACCATCACCGCTCTCGTAGCCTTAGAGGAGACCGCATCAACATGGGCACTCCACAGAAGCTTTGAGTCCAGGGTAAGCCCCAGATACTTAACCTCCGTGGCGACATTGATTACGACCCCGTCTAAGGCCAAGTTCCAAGTGTAGGGGACTGTAGCCGTCTTAAAAGGGTTGATATTTAAATCTGTAGATTAAAACAAACATTTATATTAATTTTTGCCCAAGGGAAAACCCTTCGTAAAATCGTTAGAGCACCAGATATGGTTTGTTTAGTTATGCCGTTCTTCCAGCAAACAAGCATACGTACATATGTACGTACATACATGTATACATATTTCTGCTAAAGGTAAGAAAATCCATTTTCCGCTAATACGATTACGTTGCGCTTGGAGTCAAAAAGGTTACAATTTTAAATTTTGAGGTCTGCCACAGAATAACCGTAAAGAGCTCCTTTTTATAAAAGTTGTCACTAGGAATTTTCACTTACAACTCGAGCTGTTGTTGCTTGAACGAAAATACATATGATAACAAGTTTATCTTAGACGAAACTCCAAAGCCCCACTTGAAGAATCGTTCGTTTGGCTTTAGTAAGAGTTTTAAGAAGATGAAAGGTCCAACTTAGCTTTTTTATCGACCGTAATTTCCAGATATCCGGTCCTAACAGAACATTTTAGCCTTCATTTGATTGCGTTTGTGCCTCCTTCTGAACGGCATATATTTTCCGGATATGTTCATTAATTACTATTTCCGGTTTTGATTCGGATAACCACTCCATTAAGTATGCTTACCAAAATTGTATCGTTTATCCCTTGCGACGTGTGACTTAAAATGCTTGTAAAAATACATATTTTTCGATCCTGCATAAACTGTTCCTGAATTGCCGGAAGTCACTTTGACCAATAACTGGAAAGGGAAAACAACAACATGTCTGAACGGAAAACAGGAAATTGTCAAACAATTGATAACAAATCCATTAACCAATCACCGAAAACCACATATAGAATGCAACACTGCATCGAGCCACATAATTACCGATACACTATTTGTCTCTTTCATACACACCTATTTTAAAGCGCATGTAGCGTCGAGCTGTTGCGTTGGAACTAAAAATATTTTCTACTGACGTGTGTTTGACAAGGGATCGTCGAAGAAGCGATAAATTTGCGGCAGTATTTATTTTACTAAACGCAGTTGAAAAAGCATTTGAGCAGGGGTTTTTTGGATAGTAAAAGATATAAGTAAGAGGAATTGTCCACTACAATACCAAAAAAGTTTCTAGAAAAGTGCAAGTCGAACTTTGTAATCTGTGACGCACTCCCTATACAATATAATACAGTGCATCCAGCAGCGCTTATTGGAGGCCAGCACAAGAAACTGCTAATAGCAGAACGTTTAGAAAGTGGCAGATTATACGTAGCACCTTTTCATCTTATTTGTAGTTCAAGTAAATTTAAGTAAAACGGCTTGGAAACACGTGTCTGGTGCACCTTCATCATGGTAGTGCCGCTGAATGATATGCTGCCTTTTGCCAGCGCAGAACGAAAGCTGGCAGCGTGCGTACTGTTGTTGTTGCTAGAACTATTTCTAGAAGGTAAGCCTTTTTAGACTGGAGCTAGGTTATATACAAAGAAATCTAGATAAATACCCTTTTCCTTGTAAAAGCGGCTTTTTTTATTAAACAATCGTTTTTTGTTTTTATATCATCTTCCTCACATCACTTTGTTGCCACTCTGCCAACTGTGCAAACAACTTTGTATAACTGCTAATGTGCATAATAACAACAACAACACATGTGCAATACAAATAACAACAATGAATACATAACCTTCACATAGGTGCCGAAGCGGTGCCCAATCAGGCTGACATTGAAAACCATCTGGAGCTGGGCAAAGAATTTCTAGCGCGGGGACAGCTCTCAGATGCGCTCACGCATTACCATGCAGCTGTTGGTGAGTAATAGCGAATATTATGACATAACCATTGATGGGAATTCATTTGTTTTACATCACATCTAACGTTTTTTGTTATAATTTAGAGGGTGATCCCAACAACTATTTGACACTTTTCAAGCGGGGCACGGTCTACTTAGCACTGGGCAAAGCGCGTTTCGCAATAACAGATTTCACTCGTGTTTTGGAACTGAAGCCTGATTTCACTGCGGCGCGAATGCAGCGCGGTATTGTGCATGTAAAGAGCGGAGAATATGAGCTTGCAGTAGAAGATTTTGAACAAGTGTTACAAGAGGATCCCTATAATGATAGTGCAAACGAGTACTATAAGCGCATTGATGCTGCTATGGAGCAATGGGAAATCATAAAAGATCTCAAATATCGTGGCGACGAACGTAATATCATTCCAATGATTACACAACTACTTGAGATCTCGCCGTGGTCTGTGGAGTTCCGTCAGACGCGTGCTGACGCTTATATTGCCATAAATGATCTACTCCCTGCCATCTCCGATCTCCGTTCCGTCAACAAATTGTCACAGGACAGCACAGAAGGCTATTATCGCATTGCATTGCTGTTATACAAAATGGGACAGGCAACAAATGCGCTCAAAGAGATCCGTGAGTGTCTGCACCTTGATCCCGAACATAAAGACTGCTTCCCCTTCTACAAGAAGCTAAGAAAAGTCGAAAAGAGCTTGTCCAATGCTGAAAACGCGCGCGAGGAGAAACAGTATGCGGACTGTATATCTTCTGCGGAGTCTGCATTAAAGCTAGAGAAGGAGGAAAATATGATTATATATGAGGCTAAACGACTATTGTGCACCTGCTATACACGCGACGAACAGTATGCCAAAGCTTTGAGCCATTGTAAGGAGGCGATTGAATTGTCGAGTGACCCACAATTGTACTGTGAACGCGCTGACGCCTACTTGGGCTCAGAGATGTACGATGATGCCATACATGATTATCAAAAAGCGTTAGAAATGGACGAGAGTCTGCAACGCGCTAAGGAGGGTATAGAGAAAGCGAAAAGACTGCAAAAACAAGCTGAACGGCGGGATTATTACAAAATTCTCGGTGTAAAACGTAATGCGAATAAGCAAGAAATTATCAAAGCTTATCGCAAAGCAGCACAAAAATGGCATCCAGACAATTTCAAAGATGATGAAAAAAAGATCGCAGAAAAGAAATTCATCGATATTGCGGCAGCCAAAGAAGTACTGACCGATCCCGAGAAACGAAAACAGTTCGACATGGGACAGGATCCTCTCGACCCCGAGGCAAATCAACAAGGGGGTGGCTTCCGAGGCGGCAGTCCATTTGCGCACTTCCATCACGGGTCACCGTTCCAATTTAAATTCCATTTCAATTAGAAGTACCATAATCCTCAGGAAAAATCTATTAACAAATATACCTTAGCGCATACCTAGATTAAGTCGGTTTGTTGTTAGGTCTTCTATTTTATAGTATCATATAAGCGTGTATTGAACGTGTGTAGCTACCGTTGCCATGCGATCACGTAAGCTAGCTTGCATTATTTGCATGCGATCGCTATTGTGGGTATGTTCTTTTCTTTAAATTAATGCATAGCGATTTTTTTTTTGCAAAATTATCATTCTATATGTAGGTATGCATTGGAAAGTTAGTTCTTAACTCGTAAGTGCTGTAATAAATTAAACGCTCAAAAGACTTTGCATACGCACTTGAATTGTTTACTAATCATAAGATTTTTTGTCCATAAAATTGTGCCGCTTAACCTGATTGCGATACCTTATAATCTGCAAGGGAATAATTTGCTGTATAATTTCAAGTAATCTTATTTGTAAATAGTAGGCTAAATTCTAAATAATCTTTCCCTATTCCTATTTTTTATGTTAAAAATGGAGTATGTATTTATACAAGTAATTGAGCTAAATTCGAAAGCTTAATACATTAAAAAAATTAATAAACATTTTAATGTTATGAAAATAAAATGAAAAATGTTTATGATATAAATAAAACAAATTTTTAACTCGGTACAAAGTAGTATTTAATATTCATTGTTGTTTAAGTATGTTGTAATCGCATAAAATACATACTGCCATCAAAACCAGCATAAACTGAAGAAATGGGAAGAGCAATTGAAGATCTAGAACAAGCCGATGAGGCCCAATGACTACGTGGAATTACCATTAGCAACAAAACTCGTTTTCTGTTAACCAATTCTGGTCGCTCTTTCTTGATTGGGTCGTTCAAATGGGGGAGTTGTGCGCAATAGCCGAACGAATTGATCATTTCGTTCATAATGGACAATTCTCCTTGAATACCACCAAACACCTAATACTGGCTTTGAAGCCGGAGTGTCACCGGTCTTGGACCCTGATCGATTGCGATTGCGACCGGCCGGTCACATAAAAAAAGCTGTTACAGGTACTTAAGATTTGCAGGGTTTACAGGATTCGAAGGAAAGCAGTTTTCTCGCCTTGTTTTTTAGTTAAACAAGCATCACATAGCATATTTGGGTGTGTTCAGAAATGCATCAAGTCACAGCATCATACGTATTGATTTCTAAACTGTTATTAATGAAAATATGCAATATGCGCAACCACGTTTAATGCCTAATTGGAACTTAGTTGTGTAAATAAGGCATTTGCATCAGTTATAATATAGAAGTAAAAGAGAGTGTTGCTTTGGCTTGATGCATTTCTGAACGCACCCTTTCTTATCAAAATAACTTAAAAATTAGCCTGAAATGTCACCTCTCAAACGCATTAGTTGGCCGCAATCGGACATCAATACCACATAGTGGGAAAAATCCACGGATACTATTTAAAAAACCTCCTCAGTAGGCAATCTTTACAGATCAAATCTGTTCCTATTACTGTTTAACTTCTACATTTAGAAGCCTCCTCATCCACCAGCGGAAGTTTCATTGACCTTCGGCTAATTCCCTGACCTTTTCCGCCACTCTAGTCCCACCCTGTCCAAACAACAGGTTCCCTGGGCACATCATTTAATTTGGTAACAATTTATTGACAAGCCTATTCAAAATGCTAACAAAACTGACCGCTTATATAAGTCATGATTACTCGAACGAATCTTTTCTAGTTTTAGATAAGTTCTCGCAAATGTATGTACATATATATGTATTCCAACGGAGACACACATTCGCACATCCCCATGTACATATTTAATTATATGAATGTATATCCAAAATTTGTTTCTTCCAAAGTGAATCAGTCGCTTACAAAGAGATGTTGACGTATTATTAAATGAGTCTAACCAAAAATATAGATGACGTCATCTAACTAAAATAGAAAGACTCTTAATATATTTGGGTTTGCTCTGTGGTATGCGTTTTAGCGCTTTATTACTTTGAACGTCAAAAAATAGAGCGTACAATACAAGTGAACGATACATGAATACATAAATTTACTGTTATATAATTAAATGCGTATAATAACGATAATAACGAAAAACGGGAACCTGCACCAATTGAATGGCTGCTGTTATTTATGCAATAAATGCCTAAATACAAGATTTACAAATTATTATTTTTTTTTACTAAGTTATCATTATAATAAACATATTGAGCTTTTAATGCTGCTAAATAACGAAAAAACACATTACCAAAAAAAAAGTGTAGTCCATTGTTGTTCATATATGTAATATTGAATAATGCTGATTTTAAATAAATTTTGTTCATTTCCTTTAAATTTTTAACGTATACATACTTTCCTAACTACAGACACCGTTTTCCTCTTTTAAGCACTTGTTTTAGCGTAGCTTATTCATCTGCTTCTACCGTAACCCCACACTAGCACTTCTCGCATGTCCTGCACATCAAGCTCTCATTTTGGTGGCCTGCACCACATCGTCATCATCGATTGGTGTCTTCTCGAAGAAGACAACATAAATAAAAACTGCTGCTGCGAAGATGGCGAACATGTACATCATTTGCTTAATATGATATTTTCGATCCAATGTTGTAAGAAAGTTCTTCAGCGAAGCATTAATATCGTCATCATCGTCGTCTGGATTAAACGTGCTCCGTCCTGCTACCGATTGATTGTATAGTGCCGTTGGCGAGGCGCTCAATCTCGCCGTATTACTGCGTCGATATGGCACACGTTCCTGTATTTTATTACTGCCATAGCTGCTGTAAATTTTCTTAGTATCTGCCAAGTATTCCTCCTCGTCATCACTGTCCTGCACATATATTTCATCACCAGAGAGTTGTTCGCCTTCGGAGCCGCTATCAGGCTCATCTATGCTGCGCGTGTAGCTGGTGTTGGCGCGTGTTGTAGTAGAGTAGCGATTTAGTGTTGGTGATAGTGGTGCTTTTGGTGACGCGGTACTAGGTATATATGTTTCCTTAGTAATCGGACTGCTAGAGTAACGCGGTGTAGTGTATATTGAATCGCGTAAAGTAGACTGTAGATTTGATTCAAATGGCATATGTGCCTCTGTGCCACGCTGAATGCCTGCAAGATAGCTTGATCGGTTGTAATTTGGACTGGCAGCTGTGTTGCTGCGACCGTAGTCACGTGCACCAACGTCAGCTGGTTCATCGCCACTCTCTACTTCAAAGTGTTTCACCTCTTTTACGGGTGCAATTTCCTGATAATATGAAGTGGTCATTACACCGGATTTAGTTAGCGAAGACTCACGCCCAGAACGTGTAGACTGTTGAGAATCCGGTGTAGAGGGAGGCGAAGACATGTACGTTGGTGGGGTAACTAAATCTGTAGGTAATCGCGGGTACAAACGTTGTGCATCAGCCTGATTATAAGAAGACGAAGTCACGTTGGTTTTAGAAAGTGCTGTTGGACGCTTGAAAAGTGGTTCCTTTGCACTTGGAGATGTTCCACCAAGAGTGGATGAGTGGCTGGCCATGTTCTCAATATTAAAAGAGTTCGATGGGGAACCAGCTGTATAGAAACCAAGTGATCCAGTATTTTCATGTCCTTGGGGCGATGCAATAAATCCTTGTCTTGACGACGAGTTGGCATCCTGCTGAAAAGTGGTGTTAAGAGTACGCGTTTGGCTGAATCCCAATTTGGGTGAAGCAAAGTTATAGTTGCTAATAAGAGGTTCTCGCAGATCCTGTTGATATGTGCTATTCAGAGTTCGAGGCTGGCTAAAATTTAAATTAGGTGATGATCCCTTATAACCGCTGTCATAATTTTGGTTCGGATGTGTAGTATTATATCCTTCGGTAAAGTTCCCTCGTTTGTTGAAATTAATGTCGTTGTTTGGTGCCCTATTCAAACTAGACCGACTTATTTCAATGTTGTAATCATCATGGTCAGTAGTATTGAACAAGTCCACTTCAATGGGCACAATACGTGCTTTGTTGCCAAGCCCCACTCCAACATTAGTATTGACATCAACCGCAGGTGGTTTTTGCTGTTTTGGGGCTGGTGCGGGCGCAGCAAAAGTATGGCGATGATTGTCTACAGTTGTATCAAAGGTCACATTGTGTCCTTTAGGAGATTGTGTGCGTGTCCTATTTTTTGTGGCGGGTGGTTGCTTTTGCCGCCCCGCTTCTTCCTCATCGCTCGAAACGTGCACAGTTACATTTACAGTCTTACGCCGATCATTTGGTGTGGAAGTTTGTTTCTTGTTGGCCTTGGGAGAAACAACCGTCGCCCCACCGGTTATCGTCTTGATTAATTTGCGAATGATGACATCGCGAGTTGAGTCGGCTACTGGCACATTCATGCCATGTTCGACGCATTTGTGGTGCAGTTCTTTGTTGTTTAGAGCTTCCAATTGTGCTCGCAATTCCGGGAAGTCAACCTTTTTGCTCATATTGAATACTTAAATGTTTTCTTCGCACTTTTTGCTAATTGTAAGCAACCAGTTTTTCTTAATATTGACACGTAAAATTCTTCAACGCTAGCGCACAATGAAAAATTACTAATCGAAATGGTGAAATATTTTTGTTTTGTTTGCTGTTGTTGCTTTTATACGCACAGAGATATTTGGGCGGTATTACCAGTCCAGAGAAACGCGAAATACAGAGTTGTATCTGGTGTTATGGGGAAATTTGTAATTTGACACAAACTACATGGGTAAAAATTACTGAACACCGAGTTACCGAGTACCAAGCCCGGTGTGAAGACCNTCGCACAGAGATATTTGGGCGTTATTACCAGTCCAGAGAAACGCGAAATACAGAGTTGTATCTGGTGTTATGGGGAAATTTGTAATTTGACACAAACAAACTACATGGGCAAAAATTACTGAACACCGAGTTACCGAGTACCAAGCCCGGTGTGAAGACCCCTAGTATTACTGGAGAAGGAATATATAGGGCGTGTGTGAATCGGTAACAAAGTTCTATGGGGAAAGCTGTTAAATAATATTTTTTACTATGGTGAGACAGTTTTGTCATTCTGCTGTGTGAAATGAAATTTACTTTAAGAATTAATAAGGAAATTTAAAAAAGGCGATTTTTGCGCAAGTATTAAGCGAAGCGCACATTGGCGCGATTCTGTCGTTGCGAATCCGCAAGCCCAAAAATTACAACAATGCTACCCATACATTTTAATGCGCTAGCGCACACAAGGCGAATTAATATAAGGTGATAGCAGTTGTACAAAAACAAAAATTACATGTATTTTGTTTTTGCTTTGGCGGCGTAAACTGTCAAAATCAAGGCGAAATCATTTGACACTACTCGCCAAGGCGAATTTATATGTGACAGTTCTATTATTCGTTTGATTATATTTTGGTTCTATTAGAAAAAGTTAATTTGTTTTAGAGAATATTTTAAATGATTTATATATGAAAAAATTTGTGAAAGTGGATTTGGAACCACCACCAAGCATGCACAACAAGCCAACGACACCCTCTTGGAACAAGCACATGTTCAGGAGGCGGTGCAGTTGAATCTGTTGGTCCCGCTACCCACTGACAACGTGCACACAAAAGCTTTCACGCCCCACTAAACATCTAATTGATGCATTAAAAAATACATGTAATGATAAAAATATTTTGTTTTTATCATGGTTTATGTCAAATTTTAGGACGTTGTTTAATCTTTTTGTGCTGCTAATCATTATTTCCGCCTCATCACCCGAACCGGAATCAATTACAATATGCGCCTCCTCGTCAACACCATCCTCCTTTAATTTACAGTGNTGAACCTAATATTTTTTACTATGGTGAGACAGTTTTGCCATTCTGCTGTGTGAAATGAAATTTACATTAAGAATTAATAAGGAAATTTAAAAAAGGCGATTTTTGTGCAAGTATTAGTGAATTTAAAAATTTTTGCTTGTAGACCAAAATTGCCAAAATCGGCAAAACTAAAGTAGAGGTATGTTGGCGTGCGTCACCTTTCTTCGCTGCATCGTGACATTGAAGGCGTCAGATTAAGGCCAGAGCACATTTCACACCTGGCAAATATTTGATTGCGTTAATCTAATGTAGACAATGTTTGTGAAAGCGTCATGACTAGCTGTCATTATTGACAGAATATATATGAACTCATATTTTTAGGCCATTCGTCACGGATGACTTTCTATATGTCGTGCTCGAAAAAATCATTCTTCTGAGGACAAATGCATCGTTTAAGGAACTTTCGTATATTATAGGGAATTTACAGGAGGCGATTTTTTAGGCAACGTTTAGTTGAAAGCAACAATCGCCTGGTGCCAACGGCCCTTTAGCTAATCACTTTCAACGAAGTTGGTCGGCTGACTACTTTCGTTCAACTTTTGATACAACTAATCGCCTGAGAAAGATGAATCATGTGCATTCCCTATTAATTTACAAAGTAATAGTAACCATTTCTATTGATTTAATGTCTTAAACGAAGCGCATGCGTTGCGAATTCGACTGTTAACTTTGAATCCGCAAACTTTTTTCGCGTCGATTTCCGATGTATAATTCACTTAACTCTCCCTTTTTGCGGATGATCCCGTCATATAAACTAGGATTGTTATAAACATTTTCTTTTTTCTTTGCAATTATTTTTATGACACTTTTCAGAACCCAGCAAAACGAAGAGAGAAACATTGAACTTTCGAAAAATTCGCAGCGATGGAATCGCACATGTGTGAGCTAGCTCATTAAAGTATATGGGTAGCATTGTTGTAATTTTTGGCTTTGGAATTGTGTACTCGATCTACTTTTTAATTGAATATTGCGACCAATGTGTGTAGACCATTATCTTTACGGGATGGCAACATCTCTTCGATAAATTTGATTGAGGCATTTGTGAGAAATTGAATAATTTCCCTAGATTGGGTGATTTTGACATTTCATTCCTGTCTTCATCTTTTCTCTCTTTCGCCATTTGTCAAGTTTCCGGTACGTACGCGATATTTTTACCACTCATCGAAATAATTAAAAAAAATCGCTAAAAACATAAATAAATAACCTAAATGCTTCATGGAAGCGAAAAATAAAATGTTTTTCTGTGCGTACAAGTATTTGGCTTCGATGCAGCAGCTCGACGAGAGTCGATGTAATTGGATAGAAAAAAATTGCCTAGACAAAATGTTTGTGAATGGAATTTGTTGGGGACACGAATTTACCGATTGGAATAGTTCAAGGCTGTAGGGAGGCCGAATACTTGTGCAATATTTGTTTTAAGAGTGATTTGACAAGTTTTAATTAATCAGATTTGTGCTTCTATCTGCTTGCAGTTTACTATGGCTGACACACAAGCTGCTATTGCACCAGCGTCCAAAGCTCCAAAGGCTGCCAAGGCCCCCAAAGCTAAAGCGCCAAAGATTGAAAAGCCTACTTCACCAGTTGCTGCTTCTCCTAAATACAAACGTCATGGACGCCTTTTTGCCAAAGCAGTGTTCACTGGCTACAAGCGTGGTCTACGCAATCAACATGAAAATCAGGCTATCTTAAAGGTGGGTAATGAAAATCTTTAACAGGAAGGGATGATATGTATTTTCATATATTGTTTTATTCAGATTGAGGGTGCTCGTCGCAAGGAACACGGTCATTTCTACGTTGGCAAGCGTTGTGTATATGTTTACAAAGCGAAGACAAAGAAGTGCGTGCCCCAGCATCCGGAACGTAAGACCAGAATCCGCGCTATCTGGGGCAAAGTGACCCGTCTACATGGTAACACCGGATCCGTGCGAGCACGTTTCAACAGGAATTTGCCTGGTCATGCAATGGGTCACCGTATTCGCATTGTAAGTTTAAATTAAACAAATTCTGAACTGAATAAAGGTTGATCGCTCATATTTCTCTTTGCAGATGTTGTACCCATCAAGGATTTAAGTAATTATGTTAATAATTAACTTTAATTTGACCTGCAAAACCTGCGTTTTTTAACAAATAAAAAATAATTATCTTTAAATTTAAAAGATACTTTAGGGATACTTGTTAATGAGGAATGGATGAGAAATATTGGGGGGGTACACAAGTTGACTGGTGGCAGATGCTGTTTTTATATGATTTTGGAGTTTCCAATTGACCATCAAAACAAAAAATTAAAAAAAAAAAAAACATACAATGTAAGATCATTTTGGCCGTGAATTGGGCATAAGTTACCGCTGACACTGGTTCAAGGGTGCCATTAGACAGTAGACTGCACTCTTATAAAAGCTAGATCTGTAACGATATTCACCAACATTTCAGGTTATGTGTTGTTTAATATGTGGGCTTAGGCATAAGTTTCTAGTGATTCATATCGTCCATGCCTCTGCAAAACTGCCCATCGACCAGTTCCAATCATCGAGATTTATGATATAATAGGCAGAGAAAATACCGCAAATCAAGGTAATGCCTTCAAAGAAAACTCATTTTTATGCTCTCCTATAAAATGTTGAGTGCCGTATGATAGGCGGCTTTGCAATTGGCCAATGGACAGTTTTGCAAATGCATGCAGTTGCTGTCATTTAAATTGAAACCCAGGTACTCAATTTTGTTAACATTGCTGATTACGATGCTCATATTGGAAACCGTGCAAGAAGAATTTGAAACAAAGTAGTGAATCCCTTCATATAAAATACTAGTATAAGGTACACACCATTCCCACGACAGTCTAGTCTACGTAACCGGAACGGCCCAGATTTATATCTGGCAAAGGACTGTCACTACAACAACACTCCCCAAAAAGTCTTTGGGGAATTTGTATGCTGCTACAACAACAATAACACGCCGCGGAAAATGTTCCGAATAGTATCTGTTTGTTCGAGGCTAAACCAAAAAAACAAAAAAATTAAGAGGGCTTGGCACCTTTCAGCTTGAAAGAACAAATACTAAGGAATACAATGATATGATTCCCTCTCTCCTCCGGCTCCAGGACTCATCGGGCGAGCCTCTCCAAAATAGAGAAAAAATCGTAGATTTTGCTTACAAAATGCCACAAATATTTAAAGTTAGATAAATAGGACTTTTGCTCGCCCTCATCGGTCCAACTCCGCCTACGCTACCACAGTATTTTTGGGGAGAGCACCTTTCCGCGTTGGCGTCCGTCGTCCGCACTTAAGGATTGTAATTTATAACCATACCTAAGCAGAATTCTCCTTTCTGTGTTGCCAGAGAGTAGGGGCGGAAACCCCTCTTCTTTTGTGAATAGTATACATCATGATAAAAATATAGTAAGGTAGAACCGCTGAGAGTCACTTTTAANGTCCGTCGTCCGCACTTAAGGATTGTAATTTATAACCATACCTAAGCAGAATTCTCCTTTCTGTGATGCCAGAGAGTAGGGGCGGAAACCCCTCTTCTTTTGTGAATAGTATACATGCCTATAACATTTCTTGTGCATACAAATGTTCCGGATAGCTTCGAGGTGATATCATAGTAATTTTACGCCAAACTTCCTTGTGCTAGGCGGCCTTCGATTTTTCCCTATTTTGAAGAGGCTCGCCTGAGGAGCCCTGGAATCGTAGGAGAAAGAAAATCATATCATTGGTCTTTACTCCTTTAAGCTGGATGGGTAAGCGGTGCCACTCCCTCTTACTTTCTTGTACAAGCCTCGAACAAACACATACTTTTCGGAACCCAAACCCACACCGCATCTCACTTCTTCAAGTGCCGCATGCACATTTACACACATATATCCCACACTTCTGACACTCCAGGCGCTTTGGTTCTAATCGTGGAAACAAACTTTGTTCTGTTTTAGATTTTTACACAAAGGCTTATTAACTAGATTAATGATAACACAAAGACAAAAACATTAGCAGGCCATCAATTATTTCTAATAACATATTTCCATGAACATTTTTTGATTTTTAACTCCAGAAGCTCCTTGTAATACTTAAATGTTTACCATTTGCAAAACTGACGAAGTGGCAACCATCTAAAGAAGGAGAAATCAGCTGACACGGAAAAATCTAAATTCCGCAGATTTCTGCGCTACGGGCTACAACTACAGAAAAATTCTGCGGTGTTGAGTTTTCATTTACATGGCGCTTTGGTAAGACAGATCGTGTCAGCTGACTCGGGTTTACGTACCGGTAGGTTTACGTTCTTGACTAATTTCAGCTTAAATCGCTCAAATGGCAACCAATATGAACGGAAACGCCACCGCCATCTTGGCATTGCTATTGGGAGGAAAGGAAGGAAATAAGGAAAACGCAAAAAGAAGCTTAAGTGACTTCATAAAACTGGGCAACGAGTTTAAAGCATTACCATAAGCTTATGAGGTATGTATGTATTAACACTTATTAAACC